CAGGGCAAATATATGGTCAGAGGTGCTTCGACTGGCCCGGAAGCCACACTGCTCTCCTTGGATCTTGAGATCAGCTATTTCACGGCACCTCTTTTCTAACACTTTTGTATAGACTTTATCTGGGAGGCTCAATATCATTATGCCCATATAATTGGAGCATTCCTTGTGGTCTCCCTTCTTGAATACGTGTACAATAACTCCCGTTCTCCAGTTTGTTGGTGTCTTTCCCGCAGTCATCGCGGTTTGACAGATACGTGTTAGCCAGTACATGCCTTGTTCGCCTAATGCCTTGAGCATCTCAGGGCGGATTTCATCAATCATCAAAGAACGGGTAGCGAGTCCGTTGCTGACTGGTACCTTCGTCGTCGTTCCGTCAGTCTTCGTCAGCCGTTGTTGTGCTGCTGCGCCTCCGGCTGGCAGAAGGCAATGATCAGGTTCTGATTGCCGACTTTTCGCAGTCTGCCTCAGTCCCTCCAACAGCCTGCGCGGCCCTTGGTAACCCGGTCGACGACCGATCCGGTATAATTTTCAATGACGTCAATACGATGACTGACCGGTGGCAAAATATTACGGAGACTTGCCACGTTCTCCAACCCTCCTCCTTTCTCATCTGCGCTTGGGATCGGCAACGACAGGGTTTGAAATTATCATATATAGGTAATTAATCATATTTATGTACAACAGAACGACTGGTGCGAAAAATCCGCTATTATTCTTTGATCATTGGAACTTTGGCTACTAGGGCTTCCAATGAAAAGAGATTTTACAAACCCTATTTTTACCTTTTCCTTGACAGAAGAGAAGCAATGTCAGTTCCACCCAGAAGGCTGAAAAACACGCTTAATTCTTCATTTAAACATGGAATTCATCCAAATGTACTTCGGTCCAACCTGCTGAGAAATGGATCGCAAGTCGTTGTCCTGCGAACAACACGGACAGTATTGTGTTCTAGTGTGATTACACTAGAACGGACAAGAGATACGGCCAAGCTGTCAGATGTGGTCACGTGACATGACTTTAATGTTCCACCAGGGCGTGGCGGGGTTCGAGTTCAACAAGCTTGATCCTCATAAAAATAGTTGGAGCATCCAGTGGTAGTCTCATATCGAGGCGAAAAGGATCTGACCCCTTAAAGAAAGATGGCCGCGAATGCCACCGCTGTGTTGCGGTTAAGCGTCGATTAGTACAATGCTAGGAGCGACGACGTGTATAAAAAACTGGACAGAATTGTGGGCCCCTCTTTGTTAAACTACCCAGGCCATCGTCGGCCCTGCCAGCGGGCGCAGAACTTAATGCGCTATGACAATGCGAATAAATGGGCCTCAGAACCCTGCACATCCTTAGACCCGTTGCACAGCGGCGATATGATTTTCGACTCACGAGAGGTTGGCGATGAACCGCAGGTGAAAGGCCGCCATCTGGTAAAAGGACCCGCTGTTCCAACTGCAAGCCACTTGTGAGAGAAGAAACGTTAAACCTACTAATGGAGAAAAGGTCAGAGATGTCTGCAAGAGAGAACGGCGGCGGAGGGCATCTGGAACGACGGTAGTTCGACTTGGCTAGGAAGCCGAGAGGACACGAAATCTCTTCTCTGTACAGTCACTAGATGAAAACCGAAGGAAGACTTAGAGACATTCCGATTTCGAAAATTAAAGAAATCGGTCGACTACCACCGAAGAATTGGACAGTGCAGGGGCGAGTTGTCGTTTTATCAGTCGACCATCACGTTGAGGAAGAACTGCGAGATGCAATGACCTCTGGTCGAGCTGAGACTCAGTCCATCTGCAAGAAGTTTTACACACACCTATGACGCCAACAGTCGGAAGGCAGTACAATTCCGTTTCGCATTAGCGAGGTTTGGCGTGCCGCACAGCAAATGAAAATAAGAACAACTACAGGGAGAGACGATTTGTCAATTGAAACGATCAGATACGGTAGCCAGACAATGTGGAAGGCTCTAGCAGAGAAGTTCAGTTGCTACCCGGAAAAGGAAGTAATGCCATCAGTCTGGAAGGAGTCAAAAAGACCTTTTTGATCGATAAGCGCGAGAAGGAAGATTAAACGAATAATCGCTTTATCTGCCTACTCTCATAATGCACAAGCTGTTCACTAAGACCATCGCCAGCAGATTGTCAATAAGTCTGGACGAAAAACAGCCAGGATAGCAAGCAAGTATTTATCAGAAATCTATTATATCTTTGCTTTATGTTAATATTTCGATTGCATATGGAAATTACAGCTCCCTCTGTACACAGTCTTCGTCGACTACGACATAGTGCTCGACGCTGCCAAGCATGACAGGGCATCGGCCCCGGCTAAGGTTACATCACCCTGCTAAAGGAAAAGAACTGTAGTTGATTTACACACATCACGCTGTTCGATACCCGTCTTTATTCCGTCCTTATTGCAGAATGGCATAAAACAAAGGGTATAATCTCCGCCAAACACTTCAGTGCTTGTTTGGAAATAGTCTTTCAGAGGGTCAGCTAGAAGAAGGAATGAAGATCAACGGTGAACAGGCCAGGCCCCTAAGGTTCGCTGATGATGTGGTGTATTTGCGGAAACATCAGGCAGTTAGAAGACGTGCAGCGATAGATCGAGAGAAACGGTGCAGAAGTCGAACTGTGAATCAATCAAAGACGAAGATGCTGTGGTTAAGAATGCCCTGCCTAAGACCCAGGTAATATTAATCGACGAAACGCCACTAAAGAAGACGATTAATACGTGTACCTAGTTCAAGAGTTCAACATGCAGAATGATCAGGCTAGAAAGGTTCAATGGAGGAAGTTGGTCGGCAAAGATGAGGTTTACCCCCCCCCCATTTTCCTTAGAAGGAGGCACCATATCTTAAGGAAGCGATTTGTTGTCATTGCACTCGAGCTGCTCTCATGTACTTCCAAAAGTACCATCATGTCGATGAGCTGAAGTCGGCTGAGTTCAATAGAAATTGTTGCCAACGTGAAATGACACGCTTTAATGAAGAACGTGATCAAACAGTGCGTCGTTGCCAATTATCCACCATGCAGCTTGAGAGTTTAGCGGGCTAATGGTTACCGCCCTGCAAATGCTGGACGCCTACACACGATTGTTAACCGCAATCGACTTCCTGCGGTTTTTGTTATGTCTGGTAATTAATCATTGTTACATTTTACTTTTGGACTTTAGAGATGTCGCCCACGCATCAGACTTTCTGTTTGACGGATCGACGTAGTGCGTATCAATGCGTAGTTTTTCTTCATTATTTTTCGATAAAGGGCAAATAGACCTTTGCCGTTCTGAGCCCGGTAACAGCATCTGTTAATACTTTCAGTTCGGTGACTTGACTTAGCCCTCTTAACTCAAGATATTCTACCAGCCGAACGGAAGTGTCTCGGCGTTTAAAGCAACAGTTCCTCATTAACGTCTGTGTAGAAGCCTATTTTATTTAGTTTGTAGACGGCGGTTGGTAACCTGATAATTAATTGCTCCCTCACGAAGCTACGGGGTGTTCTGCTAAACGCCCTAGCAGTAAAAGTGTCAAAATCTGTATAGTTAGTGTCATCAGCCATGAATCGAAAGCACGCCTGTAAAACTGTAATCAATTGGGCAATTCTACCCAGAACTGATACGTCTCTTGAAAGACCGTGAGGTCGAAACTTTCACTCGTAATCTGCTGCGCTGGTTGTTATGCATTTTGCTTCGTTTAACATGGGCTGCTCGTGATTTCATGCCATAAGAATTGTC